TAAGACAAGTCGACCCGGAATTCAGCGTTTTTGGAGGCAGCTACGCTATACTAGTGCTATACGAGTCCTAAAATCATACTACACTCTACCAGCACGACACCCCGGACCTTTCTTGAGCCGGCCAGTAAAGCAACCGAAGGAGGGAACACCGAAGTAGGCAGTGTAGGTGTACTGCAGCATCGGACCCCCAACAACCCCTAAACCCCCCTAAACCTGCAAACCCTAAACCCTAAGCCCTAAACCCTGAACCCTAAGCCCTAAACCCTAAACCCTGAATCAACAAATTCCTTTGGGCCTCGCGAGGGTCAAGGTTCACCGGACTCGTCGGCCCCGACGCTACCTGGCAAAGTGACAGGCAAGGGTTTGGGAGTCATAAGGGGGTCTAATACAGGGGCCGAAATAGTACCAATACTAGTTTTTGTTTTTGTTGTTTTTTGGCGTTGTTTCTTATGACAGTTTTGGTACAATATACCCCAAAACCCTATTCCAATTATTGAGGCCCCTATATTACACACATTACGAGGGTTCTGTGATTAGAGTTTTGGGTGGATTCGGGTTTGGAAGTTTGCCCGAGATGCACTTCCACGCCATTCTGTGCTAGACGCTGCTCTACAAACCCCGCATGATTTTCGACTGTTTGGGTCTTCGGTCTTTCCATAAACGGGTTTTAGGGTTTAGGGGGAACCCTGGTGCTAGCCTCGAACCCGAGCACCCAACTTGGGGGTACGCATGGTAAGCTCTAAGCACGCACAACACACGCCTAGACACCTGCTGGCCGGGAAGGCTGACCGACTAATATAGGGGCCTTAATACTGTGAATAGGGTTTCGGGGGTTCCTAATTCTTATTAAAGCATAATATACCCCAAACCCTATTCCAATTATTGAGGCCCCTATGTTAATCTTCCGTGTTCCTGGTTGTACGCAGTTGCATGTTATGAACAGCCCATCTATGTTATTACAAGCCTTTTGTATGTGAGGCCGGGTCTTTGATGCTGGTATCCCCATAATGATAGCCAAACACTATACACTGACCAAGACTCTACGGAATCCTCCGCACACTCACCAAAAGCCAACCCCGAGAATGGCATGGCAATGTATTATCACGCGTGGTCTGCATCACATTGGTTCCGCACCTCTCCAAAGCCCTGCTAGCAACTTCTCCAGACAAAACGCAGCCTGTTTGCTCCTACAGATCCCTTATATAGAACGCTTACAGAACGCTGAAAGAACTCGCACAGAACCGGGCAGGGACGTGTACACCGCCAGGTTCCCATCGTCCGTCTCCCCAAACCCGCTGCCAAAAACACCCGGAAATCCAAACCCGAAGGCTAAACTACGAAAGGCCACAGGGAAGCGCCTCAACTTCCACCGCTGTGGGGTTCACCGAATCACGCGGCGTGGCGCATTTAGGGCTGCCGGTCTCGTCGATCGCCTTCCAGTCTGAGGAAGGCTTCACACAGCTGTCTACGCACACATAACCCTAAACCCTAAACCCGTATGTTTGTATATGTATGTATGTATGTATGTATGTATGTATGTATGTATGTATGTATGTATGACTGTCAATGTATGTCAATGTATGTATGTATGTATGTATGTATGTATGTATGTATGTATACATACATGCATATGTATATGTACATGTGTGTATCTATATATATATATATATATGTATGTATACACAGTCATGCACCCCGTGCATGAATCTACAGTACCATACAATTCAGCTCAATACAATACAATACACCAAATACACTACAGCACAGTACAGGTAGAATAGAATTTCATACCACACAGCGTTATACGATACACAACCGTACAACGACACAATGTAAATACAACACGACACAATGCAACACGACACAACGCAACCCAACACAACACAGTACAGCGCCACGCAACACAACGCAATACAACGCAGTACAGCGAAACGCCATCATACAAAACCATCCAATACAAGATAACACAATACGAAACAATACCATGCAATATGTTGAAGCACATTACGTCATGTTACACGACAGTGCATGCATGAACATCACATTATGAACATTCGTGACATTGCATTACACAACATTACACTACACTCCAGCAAATTGCAAAACCAGTTTGTGCTACAGTCCATTCCGTTCCATTCGGTTCCATTACATACAGTACTTACATTACATACTGCAAATAAAGTTCTTACAACATACATGCAGACATTGTCATGCATGCATTCATGAATGCATGCACCCATACATACAAACATGCACCACAAATACATGCCTGCATGCCTGCATGCATTCATTGCATAGATGCATTGCATTCATGCGCGTGTATGATAAGGGTATGTACATACATCTGCTCCTACATACTGACAAACAACCATGCATACATACATACATACATACATACATACATACATACATACATACATACATACACCAGCACACGAGGCATGCACATATGCCTTTGCATGCGTATGTGCATGCACATGCATATGCCTGTACACTTGCACATACGCACACGTACTATAGTTCTTAGGTGTACATATGTATGTACAGATAGACAACATACAAATATATATATATATATACGAGTACACACGCACACTTTTATGTGTATGTATGAATGTATGTATGTATCTGTATCTGTATGCATGCTCAACCAATACCAGTTTACACGTTTCGTAGGTCTGAGTCCTTCTGGCTGATGTTGATCCAAGCCTTTGGGTGTGCCGAGCGATTGAGCCTAAAACCCCTAAAGCCCCAAAGCCCTAAACCCCCAAAGTCCTAAGCCCCAAGCCCTAAACCTTCTCCTCCTCAAAACACGACTTCTTGAAGGTGCGACACTTCGGAAAGCAGCAGACTCGCGCCGCAGGAAATCACGGTGCAGATGTAGAACAAGGGACCGCAAGGAATAGCAGGCTTCTCTAAACCCTAAACCCTAAAACCCTAAACCCTAAAAACCTAAAACCCTAAACCCTAAAACCCGAAACCCTAAACCCTACACCCTATAAACCTTAAAGGGGTGGATGAGGCCAGGGCGGAGAGGCGCGGCTCTTGAAAGCTGGCGATAGGGTTGCCGGCCTCGCTGCGCTGGCAAGAGGAAGGTCTCTTTGGGTTTATGGGTTTTCATGGGTTTATAGGTTTATGGGTTTATGGGTTTAATGTTTAGGGTTTATGGGTTTATGGGTTTAGGGTTTAAACGGGTTTAGGGGTTGATGGGTTTAAACGGGTTTAGGGGTTGATGGGTTTAATAGGGTTTAGGGTTTAGGGGTTTATGGGTTTATGGGTTTAATAGAGTTTAGGGTTTATGGGTTTATGGGTTTAGGGGTTTAGGGCTTATAGGGTTTATGGGTTTAAGGGTTTATGGGCTGAAGGAATCATCAAAGCGGTTCATGGGTTGATGGAATCCTCAAAGCTCAAAGCCCTAAATCCTATATGTTTAGGTTTAGTTTAAGGTTGGTAGTGCCAAGGCTCTAGAGGTTTGGCGCGATGATGACCTAATGCTGGGGCCTTAATAATTAGAACAGGGTTTTAAGTTTGGGAGTATATCATACTCTAGTCATAATAAGGAGCCCCCCAAAATACTGTAAGCAATTATTTAGGCCCCTTTGATAGGACTAGGGTTTAGCCGGATTCGGCCATCCCCGGTCTTCTTCGATCCATGTCTAAGTCTAACTCAGCGGAATAAGACAGGGCCGGAGATCTTATGGTACGGTACGGTGCGGTATGGTATAGTGCGGTACTAAAAACGGATTCATGTGCCGTGGATCTTGGACCTTGGGTCGTTCACTGCACGTGACCTTCGCAAGGCTTGAAAGCAAGTCGTCGATCATGAAAGATGCTTCCCTTCCTTAACCAAACCAGCCAAAGTTAGAAACGGGGCAGAACACTGTAAAAGAGATGGTCAGCTCGCCAGCGACCTGCCTGCGTCGTCTCGCTCACAACACGCGCCTCTGCCAGGGACTGCCAATAGACCTTTGCTTTCGTCGCTTCATGTTCGAAGCTTTCACCCTAAACCCTTACGAACCCCAAGAGCCCTGACCCTACAGATCCAAAGACGAAAAGAGTCACCCCTTGCCGAGCTCCACGCTGCGTCGGCTGACACCTGATGCCAAACGGGACCCGAACACATGCAGCATATTTGGGATTCTGTTCAGGAAAGAAGGGCCGAACACATAGACTCTAGCTTCTTATTAGGTTCCTTATTGTGATGCAAGGACTAAGAAGAACCCCGCGGCCTTTAAGGAGCCGCCGTTTGGGATTTGCAGCGGTTTCACATGAATCTCCAAAAAGATCCTCGGTGCAATTACCGTAGTACACACGACGGTGGGTTGGTTGTATGCGGTACAAGACCCTACCTAAACCCCCAATCCCTACTTAAACCCAAAATACCCCTAATTATGTAAAGACACCCAAAGACGATATAGTATGAGGAATCTCCACTAATTGACCTCACTGAAGAAATGTCCACTGGGAAGCGTTCACTGCCAACGGACTCCACTCTTTTTCCTGATTTGAACGAAAAACAGCCTCCCGTACCGAGTGATGCTATGCCAAGGGCCAACGCTCACGCACTCCCCCTTTCGTCTACCCTTCCAAAGGGTAACGAAAAAACTGAGAGCTAACTGCTATGGGAAAAACTAAGCGGTACCCACCTGTACTCACCCGTCACGGATGGCCTTTGGACAAAAACCAGTAGATATGGCTACATTCCGCATGCCCAGACTGTACCCCGGGCAACCCTCTTTGAGGGTAATTGGACATCAAAGCCTCTGGCGTCCTTTACCAACATTATCGGAGCAAGCGACACGAGAAAGAGACTCCTCCCTATTTCCTTAATCACTAAGCGATCCGGAACTCTAAAAGACCAGCGCTACTGGCTGGGGGAACCAAGTCTCCTACTCATCTGCTGCCCATCAAGGCTGTTTTCGCATCCTGGCGTCCTAGGCTTTCTTAGCCCTTTTTGCACACCGTATGGCCCAGTGACCCTTAAAATTCCCCTGGAGGATTCAATCTGAGTCAGTATCAAAGGCAATCCCCTCTTCGACCCTAGTCAAATAATCACCTACCAAGCCAAAAAACTCAGACTGAATCCCCTCCGGGTACTGCTCCACGTCAATCTTGATCCCAGCTTGCCAGAGACAAAACAGAATTCGTCCCCGGCATCGGACCTCGTCCCCTAAAGGTAGCTGGAGAACGGTTCCAGACTCCGTTTGACTCGAGGACTCGAGTCTGGAAGGTTTAAAAGCCCAGCTGACGAAACGCCGAACGACTTCCCAGGTCACTACAAGCAACACGGCCTTCAATGCTTTCCACAAAACTGAACCATCGCATCCAGTAACCCATTCTTCCTCAGAAAGATCCACATCCAGGGTTCGGGAGGTTAACTGCAGTTCCCTACCGAGGCTATCAGAACAGGTTAGATCTTCTTCACGGAGCTGAGCCTTGGGGTCGACCTTAACTGCCTCTACCACCTTCAAAGACTTCCAAAGAACACAAAGAATCAACAGAACCACTAGTACCACAACTCGCCTTGGTCTCCAAATAACTCCAACGCTAACGGCCCTGGTTCCCTCCCTGAACCTTACATCTCCCCTGGAAATCATCTCCTGAAAATCCGACCAGTCACCAGTCCTCAACCCCTGAACTATGGTCTCTACATCAGCCAGACTCCACCCCGGCAAAGGAACCACTACCGAATCATCCCCATATGTGCACACCAGCTCAGCATCCCGGGCTTCATAAGCGGGGCCTAGAGCTACTGGGGCAATTCCCTCGGTTGCTACGTCTTCACTCAGGGCCACAGTTTGTCCTAGCTCGCTACCACCATCCGGGCTGCTCACTGAGTCTACTGAGGGTTCGGTTGTAGATTGGTCACTCTCTTCAGACTCCGAGGCCCCATCTAGTTCCTGGACTATTGGCACCAGCCGGAGCACTGGGGCCACTGGCCCTTCCCTCCGAATCGGCCTCTCGTCCAGCTCCACATCCTCTTCTATCTCCTCAAATGGATATACCCTGACCCCATGTTGTAAATATGACTCTGCCGCCTCGATCGAAAGATACCCGTCGGCAACCCTCTGAATCCCGGTATCCCGAAGCCACCCTATCAATGCGTAGAGCACATGGCTGCGGAACCCTCTGGCCGCAGAGCGAAGGTAACACCACTCCACAACCCGGTTCCCAAGGAAGGCTAATAGCCTGCTACCGTCCAAGGCAAACAGTCTCCAAAGAAAGTGTACCACTACCGTAGGTGCCCACTCTACATATGGAAAGCCTAGTACACTGACGTCTTCCTCATCCGCTGCAGGCACATTCTCTTCCCCAATGGCCTCTCCCTCTAATGGATACCCTGTCAAAACGAACTCTTCCACCGCAGAGAACCATTGAGGACTGGAAAACATGACCGCATAGGGTCCTCGGCGCAACCCATCTACGATCGCTCCAGCTAGAGCATACCGAATAGCATTGGACACGGCTCTCAAGCGCAGCCAGCTCACAGACCTTTGACCTAGCCCTTCAAGAATTCGCTCACCTTCCTGAGAGAACAAGCTGACTAGGAAATGAACCCGAAGCCATGTCCCTACAATAGGAAAGCCTTCTACTGGATCCTCACCAAAGGAATCCTCATAACAAAGTCCCCAAGCATCCTGATTCGAACTCATCCCATGGCTACCCGAGCTTCCACCACCTAAAGCCCCTACCGGGCACGGATCGGTACTACTGGCGCTGCCACCAAACTGAACTGAGGGTCTTGGAGCTCGTCGACGGTCTAAGTCCCTACTTCCTTCTATCCCTGAACCTGAACCTTCCCCAACCTGCGACTGCGGATCCCATGGAATCTGAGCTTCTGAACTCCCCCCAATCTGTGTCTGCGAGTCCCATGGAATCTGAGCTTCTGAACTCCCCCCAATCTGTGTCTGCGAGTCCCATGGAATCTGAGTTTCTGAACTCCCCCCAATCTGTGTCTGCGAGTCCCAGGGAATCTGAGATTCTGAACTTCCCCCAACAGCGGCCCCATAAGACACCGGATGCCAACGGAACCCTTGCCCTCCTTGCGCAAACCGGAAGACTGCCGAAGAACCACCTAGCCCGGAAACCAACCTCGAATCACCCAGATCCCTGAGCCTACGAAGCCTCTGAACCCTGGTGCTTCGGAAAAAAAGTACTGCAAGGCTTCCTACACACAGCCACTCCCTCGCATCACAGCCTAGCAGGCTCGCAAATACCTCAGCTTGTTGCTCCAATGAAGCACACAACGCTTCTGCTGCCGCAAACACTCCTTGCGAAGGGGAAGTCCCCTCCGGTTCTTCCTCGTCTGGGCCTTCAATCCCTCCTAACCAAGACGGAAGGGGTCCATACCTTTGCTGAAACACTGGAGGATCTACAACATCTCCCCGCGCCACGGCCTTCCTAATCCGACACCGCTGGATAAAAGTAAGACCCGTCTCTAGCTCCGTCTTTACAAACTTAGCATTGACAACCCTCCATTCTTCTTCCGTAAATTCATCATTCTCCTCAGCTGCTACCGCTTCCTCCGCCGCCGGCTCAGGCAACAAACCCTCATTTTCACCCAAAGGGGCAGATTCACCAGCAGCCAAAGAGATATCATTGACAGGACTCTCTGCAGGAAACTCCTCTTGACAAGAAGGAGACAGAGCCTCCAGCCCCAGCTCCTCTTCACAATTACCAGAATTTCCCACAGCGCAATCCAAGTCCGACCCCGAATCTACAGGCCCTGCAACCCAAAACCAACCCCAAACCATCAACACTACCGCAATTACTACAGACAACACCCAAGCTACCCAGGCTAAACTAGTCTCCAGTCGATCCTCAAGCGGTTGGCCCTTCACCCGGGGTAGCACGGCCAACAACGCCAGACCTGCCAAGGCTTTGGCTACTTCAGAATTAGGGTGCCCTGCCTCAAGGCAAAGCCTACTCAACATTCGGGCACCCCTTGCAGAATCACTCACAATCACCCTGCTCCTTATGTTGGCTTGCTCTAAAAGCTGAAGAATCCGGGTTCGGGCTAACGGCTTTGTCCCTAGATCAGCCAATTGATGTTCTCCTGGCAGGTGAGTAACTCTCAGGAGATGCGCGGCAATCCTCTCGCGGCCCGCTAGGGCCCGCATCCTAAGATGCCGATTTCTCCAACCAGCTGAGGCCGTATCAAAAGCCCTAATCGCAGCTTCGTTGTCTGCTAATAAAGACACAGTAGTATCATCCTCAACCAACTCGTCTACCAAGGGCTGAACAGCCTCCGCCAATTGGATACCATGCGTCATACAAACTAGCTCTGATTCCGCTGAACTGAGAGTGGTAAACGGTTGTCTCGTAACTTCCCACGCAACCGGCACTCCACGCCAGACAATGAAAATAGCTTGCATGCTTCTTTCACCGCCCGGACTATGAGAGGCATCAGTATACAGCTCGATTACTTTCTCTGTCCTAGGAAGAGCCAATAACCCATGCTCCGAAAAGAAGTTTCCTACCGAAAACGGCACATCAATGCCCATATCGATAGTAGACTTTAGGTACGCCAGGGCCTGTTTACCCATGCTGATTGACAACTCTGGACATTTAGTAGCTTGCTGCCCGCATCGTGAAACCACGTAGGCCAAGTCCGGTCTGGTGCGCGTAGACAACCACAACAACGCTCCAGTAATCGCCTGCGCTTCCTTCACCTGCTCCGCTGTGACCACATCCTGCCCATCTGGTTCCACCCATTTGTTAAGAGGCACAGACGACTCATTCACGATGTGATATCGATTCAAGAGTTCCTGCACGTATGCCCGCTGCGTCAATCGATAGCCTTGGCCACCCAACGTTAACTCGATACCGCAAAACGTTACTGGATCAGCTCCCAGCCAGTCTGGCTCAGAAGTCTTCCACTTGGCCTGTACCGCCTCGATAAAGGCTTGACAAAGTCCCTTAGGACCTAAAAAGGCAAGATCATCCACATACACAATCAAAATCCCCTCGGTGTCGCCAAGCTTCCCCTCCTTGAAGGGTCTCACCAGCCATAAAGCGTCATCGCTATGTGTTTGTACCAAATGAAAAACTCGCTGCTCCCATCTGATTTCCAATTTACAAAATTCGCCGTCTCGATACCGCCCCCAGTCTCGAGGACTGGTCGGAAGCCCATACAAAGCCTTTCGAATCCACCATCGATCCTCTCGAGAGAGGATTCCCAGCTCCGTAAGAAAACTCGGCGGTTTCACAATGATCCGCTCCTCTGCATCATCACTGCGAATGGGGGCATATAGAAACGCCGACTTAACGTCTATGGTAACCCCCACCCAATGGGGGTGTAGAGCTGCGAAAATCAAGGCAACCTTCACGGACAACGCCTCTGCGCCGGAAGCATAAAGCTCATTACGCGTCAAACCCAGTTTGTCAGTAGGAAGGTAGTTTCCACAGCAGACCGCTCTGCATCGCCTACGGCCGGTACCGGATTTCCTAGTCAAAACTACCTTACCCGGGAGTTGCACTATAGTAATACCCTCAGAGGCCCACCTATCCACTTCACCAACCTTAACCCTCTCTACAGCTCGGTTAGTTGACTCAAGACTAGTGACCTCCTCTTGCGCGGGATCCTTCCATTTATCTAACTCCCGTCTAGCTTCTACCAACCCTACGGTTCGTGTTTGCAGGAACTGATCTCCGGCCCCTTCAACAGGAGTCAGAGGAACCTCGACCTGCAAAGTCCGTACGAGGGCAAACGCATGATCTTCAACTAAGCACTGCTCCAGCCACTCACGGGTCTTCTCAGCGCACGCTAGCTGGGCAGCTAGCCCGAGGACCCCCTCAGGATCATCTACAATGTCTCCAATGTCTTCTACAAGCAGCCTACACAGTGTAGCTGTCGACTTATGCCAGCAATCCCATCCCTCTCGACTTCTCTCATCGATGAAAGGCACCGGCAATCCTACTACCCATTCCCCGGCACACTCGGTCATAGAACCACCTACCTCTTCCCCGGAGACCAAAGACCTCCCCACAATACCCTGAGCCCCAAACCGGCCCAAAGCCTCATCTACAGGAAAGCCTAAGTCTCGTAAAATCCCGCACTGCTCAGCAGTAATGGAATCACACTCCCGAGGAATGTAGGCTGATATCGCCCACCGGTCAGGGCCTTCCCACACTTCAGCTACATGCCACATTTCACCACAAAACACTACCGGCTCGACCCTAGTGTCATGGACATTCCCAAACCTTATAGCACCGTTCGGCAAGGTCTTACCAACCGGTCCCTTTCCTGAGGCATCCTCAATCCAAAGGCCACCGCCAGTAAACTCGCCAAGTGTCCGAATCAGTACCTGGGAACCTTTGGCATTCCTAAGATCCCTGTGCAGGGGCATGCTAGTATTATGAGAAACATACAGGGATGTCCAGAGATGGTCAGGGCATTGGCTCGCGACAAACCTATTCAAGTACCTTGTTACCTCGGTACAAGCCTCGGTCATTTTCGAAATTCCCCGAAAACCTCCGACCCCATACCAACCCAGAACAATTGCACGACCTTCGCCACAAAGCAACGACCTCTTAGCTACAGGCAACTCGCCCAAACCCCTGGTCAATACTTCGCAACAATCCACCACCTCAAAACTCCCATTCCGTATCTTCTCTTCGATCCAGGAGCTAGTTTCTGAACTGAGGGTCTTAATGCCTTGACAACCCCCCTCGAACTTCAGCTCAGCAATCGAAGAGTCACGCCCGGAAATAGGGGCTTCGAAGCAATCTTCATTTGACATAAACAATCCGCTACCCTGCAAACATTCCCTGAGGCAGGAATCCTTCCCTTCATCACCAGAACCACCAACCGACCCCTCAAGATGATCATGACAAAAATCAAAACCGAAATCCGCACACTGGAAGGACTCCCCCCCAGGTCGTGACCTGGCAACTGCGGACCGTCCACAGTCAGCGAGCTCCACAGCCGCTACGACCCTAACCGCAAAGGTTGGGGAGCGCTTACCCACCAACCTATATTTCGGTTTTTTAACCTCGGACTCCTTTCCCCGTAGAGGGTACACAGTATTAGTCAATAGGACTTTAGGCCCCTCATCCTGAACTACCAATACAAGATGCCCCCCAGGAGTACTAGGAGCCTGACCCAAATACACACCATTGACCGTCCGAGACTCCCACTGAAACTTATAACCAGTACGGACCCGCTTTCTAGCCTGTACAACGAGACCAAACGGGAGCAAAGGGGGTTGGGGAACGCCAACCGACTGACAGAACCCTGCCCAATTACGAGACGAAGCATGATGCAACGCCAATGGCCAGTACACCTTGGAAAGCTTGCCAACCAACAGTAGTTTTCGCACAAAGCCCTTAAGATTCTGAACTGCCAGCTCAGCCCTATTCCCTGCCGGAGACTCCCCCGCCGTCCACGTTGGGTGAATCCCCTGAGCCTTAAGCCAACCCACCAGGGCTATGGTCCGTAACTCCTTCGCACGATCAGCATGATACCTTTGAACCGGAAACCCCGACGCTTCTAGTCGGTTAACCACCCCTTGCACCTGAGGAAGGATTTCTTTGCCATGCTTGGAGCGTAAAGGGACCCCAAAGAACAAAGTCCGGTGGGCTTTAGGTGGTACTCTGACAGGGGATGGCCTCTCAACACCCGTTCCAAAACCGACCCCTTCCCCTTCACCACCCGCGGCTGCCCCTCCAGACTCAGCGTGCTTACCACGAACCCGGTGAGTTACTACCTTGACTTGATCATGGCCCTCAAGGGCCTCTCCAGGAAGCCTAAAAAACTCCTCTATGGATTCCAGCTCCGCGCCCGCCAAATCCTGAAGCCCTCCGGCCTTGCCATCCTTTCCTTCAGTACAAACAAGAACCTCTTCATCTGACGGCTCGTAATCCCCTTCATCGCCACCTTCCCGGGATTCCTGCCCGTACCCACCTGGGATGGCATATGCACACGCCAAAAAATAACGGTACCCTGTACCCCTGTCTCGCCCACTAGCTTCCACATCCCAAGACTGTCCCGAGATAAAGGGCCCCGCTACATCCACACTTAGTGAGTGCATATCCGGAAAACCACTACGCCAATGCGACCGCTGTCTTCCCTGAGCCTGTATGCAAATAGGGCACCCTTTTTTATATGGCACATGGTCGTTCTCCTCATGCAGACGACAAGATTCCTCTTCGGACAACCGCTTAAGGATCAACCTCCTTTCCTGGATCTCATCATTCTTACCTTGCTCCCACTTCCACATGACCCACGCCCGTTGCACCAGACTAAGCAGGTTCCCAACCCATCCATACTTGCCCAGGTCGTACCCAAAGCCGCCCTTCTCAATAGCTTCCAGGAGGGATCTAGCCTTAGAATCAGCCCTTACCCTATGCAAGGTCTCACACAGAAACCATGAGGTAGTCATCAACCTAGTCGGGTAAACCCCTGGAGCCCCTAGACAACCTTGATCAAACTCGGCAACCTCAAACCCGTACTGGTCCGCCCAAGGAACAATCCATTCTCTTCCTAAAGCTAGCTGTCCCTCAGAGTGCCCGTTTAACCTTAAACCAACCTGTCCCATAACCATAAAAACGTGGTGAGCTACCGATGACGAATCATCCTTGCCCGACTGCCCGGCATATGCAGCAGCCCCCGAGGACCTCATAGTTCCCTGAAAGACGGACCCTTGTGTCATTCCCGAGTCCCCGTCTCCAAATGAAGCCTCCTTACCCTGCAAATCCTTAGCAGCCTGCGCAGTGGCAAACACCAACAACAAGCGCAACAACCGAACTAACCCGTCATCTTCTAGAAGGCTGGGTTCCCCGGTACTCAAGTCCACACCCCTTGAGCCCTTTACAAAACCACCAAAAGCACCTTCCAAAGCCCATCTCATAAGTAACTGAAAGACCACGCGGCACCCTAAACCCTTCTCCGAATCAGGGACCTGAACAACCCTTCCTAGCCCCTTCCAGGAATGCTGAAATGGTTCCACAGCTAACACCACCGTTCCCGGATCAGCTTTCGATACTGACCTTCTCATTCGCCTGTTCCACGGCAAATCAGACCAATCATTTCCACTGGCCTTTAAGGCTGGTGCACAAGCCCGTGCCAGAAGCGGCGTTGGAACATTCGGAAACACAGCTCTCAAATAAACAAACTGATCCACATCCGAAAGTCCACAATTCCGGCGCTGCTCCACCCTATCCCTGAGCCAACCCCTAGCCGAATCAACCGACACTGAGCCTCCTAGATCAGAAACCTCCGCTTTACTCAGTACCGGCTCTCCAGCCCTTCGTGCCTCATAGGCACTCAGGAGTTCCAAGCCCACTTCTCTCGGGATAAGAGGGCAACCCTTTACAACAACCACTTTCAAATCCCCCTGCTTAGGATGACGCACCCGACAGCCCTTCTTACGCCAAGAGATTGAATACCCTAGCTCCACCAGATAGCTAGCAGGAAGAATGACCTGACAAGGACCATTGTGCAACAAAGTACCGAAACTATTGACCCGTAACTCAGCAGTCCCCGAGGCTAAATCCACCCTTATCACCTTACAGGTATCCAACTCGGTTACACAAGCTGGTCTAAGGGCATTTGTGGCCCCGCTGTCAATCAAGCAGTAATTTGGATCCGAGGCATTCGTCAATGCACTTCGTATCCACGATACGTCCAACTCCGACTCAAAATGAAGCGCCTTTAGCGACACCCCTTTCAGCAACTTAGCAGCCTCAGCAACCAAAGCTTCGTGAGTCGAGGTGGCACTTGCACTGGCTACCGCAGCAGAAGTTCCCACTTTTGGGTCAACCCCTTGCCCCGAATCCTCAACCACTCCCTTAGCCTGGGCCCCAGATTTGGCCTTTGCCTTTGCTTTACCTCCACCTTTTACCTGGCCTGAAGCCTTGGGAGAAGCCTCCGAACCCGAATCCCCTAAGACAGGACGGTTCTCTGGAGCGACCAGAGGACAGTCCGGTCTAAAATGATCCTTCTGGCCGCAAGCCAAACACCTCCCTTCTCTCCTAGCCTTACCACGGTCGTGCTTAAAAATGCAAGCATCCCCAAACCGGCAACCCGAGGCATCGTTAAACTTATGGCAGCTCTGCGCCCCTCCATCAACCCCCTTTCCTTTACCCTTTCCCTTGCCTTCGCCTCCTCCTGTGGCAACCGCGGCTACCGAAGGATTAGGGCTCGTACCCGAAGAAGGTGGCGGAGGTGGAGGAGGTCTCACAGGAGGAGGGTCCCTTGGGGCATGCAATGCCGCTGCTCTAGTCCTACGATCACCCCCCGTCGGGGTTTCAACGAGAGCGACGGCTTCACTCTCTGCTTGCAGCAACCGAACCAAATTCGTAACCCCAACCACAGTCGGATTATAATCCAGCGCGATACTATGCCTATATGAATTAACCCTAAAGGCAACCATCGGATTGGAGGCCAGGAGACCCGCCGTCGCTCCGTCTATGCCCTTTAAAAGGAGGGACGCGTCTGGCAACGCTGCTCCAACCTCCGAAGCTCTCTGTAAGCTCTGCTGCCATCTCCGGAGAATTCTCACTGCATCTGGGAAGGATTTACAGGGTTCGGGGGTAACTAGCTGACCCAACAAATGCGCCCTTTCAGAACTGCCTCCCGGTTGATAAAGGCACAGGACTCTAAACAGGATGGCCGACGTCGTCAACCACCGATTAACCACGATATCCTCTTTAATGTTAGCAGGAAGTGCCGCAAGAAGAAGACTCACCGCCCTGCTTTCTACTCGTTGATACCTAACCACATCATAAACCGCAGTTATTGAAGCCGGATCTAAAGCTAACCTCCCCAAAGGGTCCGCTATCAACCAACGGTTATACCCCTGAAGGGACGCCCTTTCCACAGCCCCAAACCAGATGTCCGACGTGGCCGACAATCCTTGAAACACTTGCCTAATTTGAGCCATCCAATTACCGCATACAATTGCACTATCCGATAGGTTCGCAGAAGTAAGCTTGGGTAGTTCAGAGACATACTTAGCAGGCTCCTCAGGCCGACTAGCCTCTACCGCCACTCCACTATGCCCTGATACCCCGCTGACACTGGGCGCACCTGTAAGCAGAGGCGCTGCCGCGGCACTCATCGTAGTCGGCGGAAGCGGAGGCGGGCGAATCACCGTTCCGCCCGGGGACAAAGGGTAACCCGATGGGTCACACCGTACACTAGGCACATCCCCACCCCTAGGGGTTTGAAAGCCCTGAGAACCCGAGGGTAGCAACCCTACTGACCTAGCCTCCTCAGCAAACTGGCGCATAGTCTGAGATCCCTCTACTCCGGTTCCTGGTTCTCTAGAGGCTGGAACGGGTGGCAAAGGCAAAGGTGGGGGCTTCCTATAGAGGGCCTCGGGACCATAACCTACATGGCCTACACCTGCCAAGCTAGGTACGAATCCTGGTGGCCCTGTTCCTACCGGATCTCCAGGCCTACCTCCTCTCCAAGAGTGCGGATCCCCTGGAAAGCTTCCTGGCCAACCACCTGTAACACCTACCAACCCCGCCCCTGCTAGCCCCAACGCTTCATGACCCGGGAAATCTGGGACCACAAACTGCTGTACACCATGCCCTACCCGCTCACCAAACGTGGCCGGCGAGAAGGTTTCCATAACCCCTTGGCCGCTATGCCAACTGGTCTGAGAATGAGATTCCCTTTCCATGGCCTCTAAACGTCGCTTGAGGCTCCGGTTCTCCTCCATGAACTGCGTCAACAAGTGTTCCATGGAAGCCATTCTTCCCGTCTGACCTTCATCAGCCGGGATGAGCTCCCTCGGATCCTCCTTCGGTACTTCCGCTTCACGTCCCGTCAAGAGTTCTCCAGGAGTACCCATGCTAGGATTCCCTCCTGGTACTTCTTGCTTTCCCTTGTTGCCTTCAATCTGCCAACCCAAATCCGATTGGATCAAGCGTGGAGGGGAGTCACCAACTCCTGTCGATCGTCCGGCATCCTCGGAGAGCGCTTCCACCCTGGCAACCCGCGGTGCTCCCTGCTCTCCAGTGGGGCTGAACCTCGTCGCCCCATAGTCTGGTTCTTGCAGAAAACCACCTTGAGTGTCACCCAAAGCCGCCTCGTCGTATTCCACACTTAATCTAAGGCCGTCCTTATCAAGTGTAGGGGGACGATGTCGTAGAAGCTCCACCTCTGCCTTAACCCTTTCGCTATGGAATGGATTCGCTTGGGGCAACTGGGAGCCCTTTACTCCTCCTTGCTCCAACGTTCCAGGGGACGCTTCCCCATGGAACGCGCCACTCGTCGGGACCCCACTGATCCCAGCGCCCGAAACCCCGGGGGTTTCGGCCTGACTCAAGGCTGCTTGGTAGTCTGGATCATGGACCGCACTGGCCCCGTCGTTTTCCTTACACGCCACACCCCTTCTTGACCTAGTCAACGGATCCATGGCTCTTTCTAAGGACAACAACGTACAACTAGTCTACACCTTAGCCCAAGGTAACTAACCTAAGCCGGTTACGGCTGATAACCTATGTAAAGACACCCAAAGACGATATAGTATGAGGAATCTCCACTAATTGACCTCACTGAAGAAATGTCCACTGGGAAGCGTTCACTGCCAACGGACTCCACTCTTTTTCCTGATTTGAACGAAAAACAGCCTCCCGTACCGAGTGATGCTATGCCAAGGGCCAACGCTCACGCACTAATACCTAAACCCTAAACCCTAAGTCGAGGATTTGCGGTTGCGGACCCTAAACCCTAAAGCCCCGGCTCTGGGTTTCAAAAAATGCAGCTCGGACTCGCGTCTGCAGGGCCCAAGAAGCGAAACGTCATATGGGTAGTTCTACAAATTGGGGCCCCTTTTGGAATCCTTTTTTAAATAAGGGTGCCGTACTATTTTAGGGGCCGAGAAAGGGACCCGAATTTAGAGAAGGGCTTTGGGGGATGTACAGTATTGCAGGTGGATGACTCATATTTCTAAAGTCCACTCATTGCAACCACCCAAATCAATTCCGCCCAACTGCTGCGACACGAAGTGAAGGTTAAGGGTTCAGGGTACATTGGCTTGTCGGGTTTAGGGTTGAGGGCGATGTTGGACAGATAGTTCCAAACCACCTGCGGCGCGAATCAGGCGCATGCTTTTCAAAGCCCCATAAAGTTCAGGGTGGGGGGAGTTGATGGCTTGAGAATGATTGAGAGACATCACAAGCTTACTCCATCGCTTGACTGCCTCCAAGTGAGATCGTGCTAAATTCCCAAATCCTAACACCCCTACCTCAACCCCTAAACCCTGAAACCCGTAAGCTCTAAACCCCAAACCCAAAGAAACCCTGAACCCGAAACCGCGACCCCCAGCTTCCATCGTCTAAGACAGGGTCTTTGGCTTCGTCTGTCGCATTTCATCTGCCGTCTACGAACCCGAGGGAAGTTCCATATGTGTATATGTAAGCATATATATATATATATATTTATTCATACATATATATATATATATGTGTATACATATATATATATATACATATATACATACATGCATAATTATATACATACTCGCTGTGCAATGTGAAGCCATTGCCAGCTTCTGCATCCTTTCAGGTACTAAACAAGGACCTTGAGAACGACCGATGTCTTAAGCACGCATGTTCCCCTCACTCCCACCAGAAACCAAAAGCAACCAATCGTGTCCCTGCCTCGCGGAACTGTTGATGCAAGCTCTCGTAGGCTTTCTGCCTGGGAAACACTTGCAAACATGATGGGGGGGAGCATGATCCGCGTTTCCGAAACTAGGAGCAAGGGCCATCTTCAGGGACTTTCATGGCAGGAAAACCTGCAATGATAAATTTACATACACATGTACATGCAATATATGTACTAATGTACTAATGTATGTATGTATGTATGTATGTATGTATGTATGTATGTATGGTGTATGTATGTATGTATGCATGTATGTATGTATGTATGTATACATGCATGTATGCATGTCTGCATGCACGTGTTCCTGCATGCATGTCTGTCTGTATGCCCGTATGTATTCTATCTATATATACATATAGATGTATGTATATATGTATGCATACAAGTATGCATATAGACATACATACACACACACACACACATTTACACATACAAAAATACACACTGTCCATATACATGCACATGTGGCTGGATCCCGCCTGGGGCGCCAAGAGAGACACCAGGGTCTGCGGAGAGCGGAGGTCGCAGACTTCGAAGGAGACCTTCGCTTTCTTCTTTTAAGGGTTTAGCACAGCTTTGTTCGTTAAGCCCCCTCCTTCAAACCGCAGGTGGTTTAGGACAGTTTAGGATCTATAGGGTTTAAGGGTTTGGGGTCTGGGATTTAAACATTTTTGGTTTGAGGGCTTAGAGTCGTAGAGTTCTGGGGATGTTGGCCTCCTGCATTGCTTGACGAGGTCGGCTGGGTCCAGGACTTGGAAGTTTAGTTAGGCCTCTAGCGTTAGAGGTTTTGGGGTCTTTGTGCGATCTTCCCCTGCCTTTTGAAAAAGGGCTGCAAGAAGCTTCTGCTATAAGGGGCTTGCTGGGTTGAATAGGGGCTCGACCAGGGCGTTGAGGAGGTCCTTTGCGACCTTCAGGCTTATAGTTCGTTTGCTCGACTACGTTGCTCTCCGATTATAGGGTTTACGGTTTTGGGTTTAGGGTTTAGGGTTTGGGATCCCAGCCCCACATCGGCTGTCCCAGAAAGATATCCTGTAGCTGGAAGAAAAAGCCCAAACCCTAAATCCCGTCCAAACCCTTGTCACTATACTCTCACCCTGAAGCCCCCTAAACCCTCAAACCAAGACACAACCCTAAACCCTAAACCCTAAACCCCCAACCTCAATACCAAAATCAAAACTCACAGCGCAAAGGCCTGGCTAAGACCTTCAGCATTGACAGCCGCCCTGGAAGTCGGGTTGCGGTGTCTGTGGCTTATCAAGGGACCGAAACCTGCATAGGCTCTGCATAGGGATTCTAGCACCTCTTTGTAAGGTATAAAATTACTGATCGTGTTTATAAGGATAGCTTCACAATAGTTCAAGTGCGCAAACGTTGCGAACGCCATGAGCAATGGGAGGGTCATGGTTGCACTGCTAGGCTGATTCTATTCATCTTTGCCATAAAGCTTAGAGCTTCCCTAAACCCTAAACCTGTAAGGGTACCAGTAAATGTTCAGGGTTTGGGGGGTGCAGGGGTTAGCCGTTCAGCATAGCTTAGGGCAGTGCTTTTGTTCAAGGGTTTAGGGTTTAGGGTTTCATCATGTTGTGACATCTTGAACAGCAACATGTCCTGGATAAGGGTTGGAATTGGGAACTGCGGCTCTTGAGCGGAGGCGCTGAATGTACTGATGAATGGTAGCGGCCTGAACAATTAGAGTAGGGTTTCGGTTATATGGTTATTATACTACAACTACAGTCATAAGAAGGAGTCCAGAATGGTAGGGGTACTTATTTAGGCCCTGACTGATTAGTTAGGCCCCTAGATTCGGGCTCAGGATCTCAGGCTGAGAGAGCTTTTAGTTCCGGGAGCAGACCTGGTTACTGCGGTTTTGCGGGCGAAGATTCGACTGAAAGCCTCCAAAAGCCTGGAGCGGAGTGGAGTGGAGAGAGACCAGACAGAAACCCCTGGACCCTAGAACGCTGAGCCCGAAAACACCACATAAACACGATGTTACCTCCGGCCCGAAAGCTTGAATTTCAAAGCCTCTTTGAGCTGGTTGTGCATCATAGGCAACTGCAAAGTCGCAGAATCGTATAGGTCCTATCATATCAAGGTTTCCGAAAATAGGGGACCCTAATATAGCACCCTAAATAATAGGATCCCTGTTATAAGGACCCCAAAATAAGGTACCCCTTTTTTTTTCGGAAACTCCCATATCATTCCCTGAAACCCTGGGCCTCCCACTAGTTCAATGCTCGCGCCGCACCTTGCGCTGGCTACCTGTGCCGCGTCCAGCTCGAGCCCAACACCTGAGATTCGTAATGATATTCCGCTATAGCCCCTGTGAAGGTACAGTACCGCAATAGGAACCATATGCCCCTAAAACCTCAATCTATGATATTCCCTTGTAGCCCCTATAACGGTATAGTACGTACCATAATATGAACCATATGCCTTTTGCCCCTACAACCTCAATCTAGTTATTTGGGCCCCTACAATACACAGAAAGCCCAGCTTGGCTCTACAAGCCGATCTCAAACTGAAACTGGCATTTAGGGTTTAGGGTTTAGGGTGTTTTTTTATCCTATGTTGAGACGTGTGCCTTAAACTGTCTAGGGTCTCTCGAGGTTTTTGTTCCAGGATTATACACGGCTCAGTCTTTTTCTGGCACTTCTCCATCAAACGACGGTGCAATGATGGAAATCAACGAAAAGACGACAACAAACTATAGTAATTGATAGCAAGACCAAAAACGAAGATTGCCTGGACCTATCTGGACCTATCTTCAGTTGCAAAAGGATTCGCGTACGAAAAATGGCTGATCATAAAAAACGGTGCAACATCAATGTCTCCGGAGTCATGGAAAGCCGGAGAGAAAACGTCTACCTTAAGCCTTAACCCTGACTGGACACGACTACAAAAAAAAGCAGCGGTCATGAGACTCTCCTGACTTCGGTCATTCCCGCAAGTCCTTTCTTTTCGGCTGCCTTCTTCCACCTACCCATAGGCCCCATAGTGGTTCCTTTTTTGGTTTCATGTTTAGAATCCTACAGGCAATCCCAAAAAGGAACTACTATGGGGCCTATGGGTATAATGACATCAAAACGATGATGGACAACGACGAACCAAGGGTCAGATATGACAACATATGATAGCGAAAACGGAAAGAAGAGTGCACATTGCCTGAAGCCCTCCAACTTTCCGAAGGTACTACTCTACAAAGTGACGGCATCACGAAGGGGATGGATGCAAGAAGATGAGCAAGTGATGGCAGCATTGCAACGACCGCCATTCAAAGATAATAAGAGATGGCAACCCGGCAACCCGACGATGACGAAGATGTTGAAAGCGAAGAACATGATGGATGACGAGCCCAACGATAGCCCTAATCAGGCCACATGGCGGAAAATCTTGTAAAATGACGACATGTCTAGAGATCTTGAACCCGAAGCTGGGGTTTCGGGCCTGGGGCCCTAAACCCTACCTAAACCCTAAACCCTAAACCCTAAACCCTAAGCCCTAAACCCTAAACCCTAAACCATAAACCCGAAACCCTGAACAGCTGAGAGCAGCGACTCGGCTTTGCCAGCGCTTCTCGGAGCGCACGAGTCAGCCACCCTCTGCCAGCCCCGAGATCCTCACCAGGGTTTAGGGTTTAGGGGTTTTAGGAGTTCGGCTTCAGGGTTAGGGCTTTAGGGTATAATTACAGTGTCTGGTGACGGGTTTGATAAACTCTCCATGGAGAGATTCTGGATCTCTTCATGGAGG